TTGTTGTTTGTTGGCCCGGGCTGGATTAGAAACCGCCACCTTGGTGTATGTGGCTGGCGCCTTAGCCACTTGAGCCACAGGTGCCGAGCCGCTTTGTTGGGTTCTTTCTGGCCATTATCTCTCCCTCTGGACGGGAGCTTCTGTCGAAAGCTGGCTTCAGTTGGCTATCATCCTCCATTCCTAGGGTGACCAGATGTCCCGATTTTGGCGGGACAGTCCCACTTTTCAACAATTTGTCCCGCGTCCCATGGCGTTTTAAAATTTAAAAGTCCTGATTTTTGGAAAGAATGTTTGAATGGGCTGGAGAACAAGAAGGGAATATACGGTTTTCAGCCGCCATATGGCTATTTTGCCAGAATATGAGTTTTATATTATTTTTGTTAATTTTATAATGTTAAACTGTAATAAATAATTGATGAGAAGTGATTATCCAGAACTGCTTATCAAAGTTTGCATTGTTGTCAGGCCCTGCCCTGCACCGTCCCCCCGCCCCGCCCCGCCATGATGTCCGGCCTTACAGATGTTAGAATCTGGTCACCCTACCCATTCCCCTTTGCTCTTGTTGAATACTGGGCCAGTTCCAAGTGTAGGATGACTGTGAGTGAGACTCAAATCACTGCGCTTGACCCATAGGGAAAAGTACCTGCGGTGACAGCCATCTCCCAAATTCCAAAACAGTGGCCTCTTCCTATCCGGGATCTTTCCTGTCTGAGTGTCTCTCCCATTGCCTAACCGTAGTGGTGCCACACTAGATGGCACCCCACTCTGGCCGCCTAATTCCTCTTGGGAGACCATACTTCACCAATCTTTCCACACAATACCCAGTTTCCCCACAGACTGGGAACTACAGTCATTTGTGGTGGAGCTGATTGCCCCCTCCACTGCTGTAGCCTGGGGCAGAACCTTTCCTGGAAGTCTCCGCAACTGGATTATACTCCAAGTCTAGCAATCTGCCCCCTTGCTGCACACCTCGAACTGCTACTCCGTACCAGAATTCCATGCTGGGAATGATCTAGCCCACTCACTCTCACCTTTTGTTCCAGGAGAGCTGAGCTAAACATCCTTCCCATCCACAATCATGTTCTGCCTCCCTTCATTTTATTTTTAAATAAAGAATAACCAATGTTTGCAAACTTAAGGAAGTTAATGTAAATGCATAATTTGAACGAGATAAGATAAGGGTTAGTAATTCTTTTTCAGTCAAAGAAGTTATGATTTTAATCTAAAATAGTCATATCTGGTCAAATCAATTTAGAAAATTCTTGAGTTATGACATATCATTTGTCACCCAAGAAAACTATACCTATTTATTCTGTTACTCAATTGTACAATTTTTCATTCACATTTAAAAAGAAATTTTACTCTACAAGGTCCATTACCTTTGTTAATAAAGGGTTCTGGTTTTCTGATTGTTAATTGTTATTTATCCCCTGGTCTCCTTATAGTTTGATAATGTTTACAGTTTTTTCCCATATTTATAGAGTGGAAGTAGGTTATCTGAATTTAGAATAACTATGTCAATTATTTGAGAAATGAATTACTTTATGTTTGAGTTCACTTTACCTACTGAGTAAATTCACTGTTATTTTTTTTTTTCAAGAAAAAGAGATTTCTACTATTGTTATAATTTCATACTTATGTGTCCTCATGATTGTCTCTGACTCCGAAAACTCTCTTCACATTCACTTTAAAGAGCATTCTTTATTTGTTGGTGTTTTTTTTTTTATGCAT